CATAGAGTATTGTGACCATCAATTGCATCTACGCGGTGTTCCTACTATCTAATAGGTGAGGATAGGTCCTAATCTCACCCGTGGATGCATAGATGAGGTTAGTTTTCATGCTCGCTCCTCTCCGAGACAGAAATTTCGGTAGCACCTCCCGTTATTCTCTCGATACACGCCCCGTAAGGGAGAGTGTGTATCCGAGAACAATGTGGGAGGTGTTGTCGAAACTCCTCTCGGACCGGAGCGACCATGGAAACTAACCCATCTACGCATCCACGGGCTGTCCAAAAAACATGGACAATCCAAATAGATACGCTTGTAGATACGCAAAGATCCGCAGATACCCACGACCGTATCTCTTTCGGACGGGAGACGCTTAATCGGGTTACTGGCATGAGCTACTACATGCACATGCGCAAAAAGAGGTTATTTATACCAAGGGTGTCGGTGAAGTAAGGCTAGCGGGGCAGTGGCGAATCGACGCAGTGGCATGGCGACGCAGGGCAGGCAGAACCGCGACATCGACGAAGACGATCGGGGTCCTCGGGTCCCTCCGACGACTCTTCTCTCCGCATAAAAGACAATAGGTTATTTTTGTTCAAAATTCGGCAGCACCTCCCTCGCACGGGAGGTTTCCAAAACCTGCAAAAAAACGACATGATGGTCGACATTCACAATGGCACGAATGCCGACAACCACAACGGCACGAAGGCCCTCATATCAAGTTACGGCACGAAGGCCCACACACAACCACATACTGCACGAAGGACGACAACTAGAGTTTTACCTAGGGTTGTGGTGGAGTCGGGCGTCACGGGCAGGGGGTCACTTTCTTCTCCGGCGAGGTCGAAGGGCGTTGGAGTACTCCTCTCCCCTCTTCCCTTTCTTTCTTCTTTCCCTTCTTCTCCTTCTCTTCCCCTTCCTCCTTCTCTTCTTCTCCTTTTCTTCCTTCCTCCTTCTCCTCTTCTCCTTCTCTTCTTCTCCAACTTCACCCTCTGCCTCCTCCCTCAAACAGCAGACCCGCATGACGGGCGGTGGGGGCTGGGGTCGGGGCGGAAAGGCCGCGAGAGGGGAGCCGCCGAGGGCCGGCCGGGGCGGTCGACCCTCCCCTGCTCGACGGAGACGGGGAACGGAGGTGAGGCGCGACTCGGCCGCCACTGGGCGTGGTGGGGGCGGCGAGCTGCGGCGCTGGTGGAAGCGGGTGGGGGTGAGCTGGGCGGCGGGGCGGTGGTGGCGCAGGGGCCTGAGCAGAAAGCGGCAAGCGGCGGTGGCGCAAGGGTGGTGGAGGCGATGGACTGGGGCTGCTGGGCTCGGGCGTCAGAACACAGTGTGGGTATGGTGGGCAATTGAGGAGGCTGGGAAATGGGCTGTCGGGAATGGCCAAGGCCATGGCGGTGGGGCGGCAGCTGGGCAAGCGCGAGCTCGCGCAGCTAGTAGGTGTATGCGGCGGGCATGTGGCTGGCGGCTTGTGGCCATTTGGACTGGGCCAGCAAAGGGCGAGCGCATGGCGCTGCGTGGGGAGGAGAGGTCGATTTTTTTTTTCACAATTTCCGATCGGGAATTTGGGCGCAGGCCCGATTTTGGGGTTCACGCTTGCCGAGGGCCAGATCCACGACCCTAAGCAAAAGATTTTTTATTTTTTTAAAATTTTTTGCCGAGGGCCGTGATCCACGGCCCTCGGCTAAGATTTTTTATTTTTTTAAAAATTCTTTGCGAGGCCCAGATCACGGTCCTCGGCAAAGATTTTTATTCGCCTCAAAAAATTCTTTGTCGAGGGACGCAGGCGAGGCCCTCGCAAAGAGCCCTCGAAAAAAAATTGATTTTTTTAGCCCAGTTTTTTGTGGTGCTACAATACATTATTTTGAACTTAATTTTAAAATTTGGCCAATTTTGATTTTGTTTTGTATATTTCCTTAATTTATTTCGATTCTTTGATTTTTTTTGAATATGTCAAAGCCGCAACATGCATGAGGTGCATGGCATCTCAACCAAGTGTTTCTGCATCCGAAATCGTTATTCAGATTAATTTTGCATAATTTGATGGCATCTCACCAAGTTTCCGACAGTATGCATTTTATAATTTTCACGCATCTCATGTTACGCGTAACAAGATGCGAAACTTTGATGGCAAGTGGATAGGGACTCAACAAAAACCAATTAATATGAATAACATTTTTCAAACACTACATTGCAATATTCCATGCACCGCATAGCTCAAATTTGACATATTCAAAAAATCAAAGAATCAAATAAATTAAGAAAATATACAAAACAAAATCAAAATTGGCCTAAATTTTAAAATTGAGTTCAAAACAATGTATTGTAGCACCACAAAAAAACTGGGCTAAAAAAACCAAAAAAAAATTTGCCGAGGGCTCTTTTGCCGAGGGCTCCGCCAGAGCTCCCTAAGAAAGAATTTTTTTAAAAAATAAAAAATCTTTACCGAGGGTCGTGGATCTGGACCTCGGCAAAAGAATTTTTAAAAAATAAAAAATCTTTTGCCGAGGGTCAGGATCTGGGCCTCAACAAAAATTTTTTAAAAAATAAAAATCTTTGCCGAGGGCCTATCCTGCCCTCGGCCAAGGGCTTCTTTGCCGAGGGCCCAGCCTCGGGCCTCGGCAAAGGCGATTTATAAAAAAATTTGGTCGAAAAACTAGTTTTAAAAAAATCTTTGCCGAGGGCCTGGTCTAGGGCCCTCGGCAAAGACTTAAAAAAAATTGCCGAATAACCTGGTTGCACAGGAAAAAAAAAACCTTTGCCGAGGGCCTAACGGGTGGTCCTCGGCAAAGCTTGACGGGAAATGGCCGCCATGACCCAACAGGCCTAATTTGCCGAGGACATCTTTGCCGAGATTTGCCGAGGGCCTGTCTTTGCCGAGGGTCGTACCCTCGGCAAAGGCCTCTTTGCCGAGGGCCGTTCTTTGCCGAGGGCTCTTGTGTCTGGCCCTCGGCAAAGAGCGTCTTTGCCGAGTGCCCGAGATTTGGCCCTCGGTAAATCCTCAGGCCCTCGGTAAAGCACGCGTTTCCAGTAGTGGTTATTCTGTTTTCATTTGAGATTAGTAGTTATCAAGCGTGGATGACATCGATATAAATGAATGTTTTTATTGTCTAAATCATACTCCATCCGTCTCATTCTTAGTGTCGCTATAATATTCGTGCTGGTCAAACTTTTTTAAGTTTGACTAGATTTATAAAAAATATTAGCAATATTTGTACTTTAAAAAAGTTTATTATGAAATATATTCTACAATTTATCTAATAATACTAATTATGTATCATAAATATTAATAGTTTCTTCCATATATTTGGTTAAAGTTGCGTATGTTTGACTTCTGATGAGGTGAGAGCAACAGCTAAGAAGGGACAAAGGAAGAACTGTTTCTTTTTTGACTGATTGACTCAGACTTCCGTGGTCTTCTCGCTCCTCTGTTGGGGCGAACTTTCCTAAGTATACCTACATGCCAGCGGCGAAGCCGATACATTGGTCCACCAAGAGATATCCCAGATGGAGCAGAACCAGGCAAGATTGCTGATGAGGAGATCCCGAAGCTGAAGCAGGAGGGTGACAGGCATCCGATGTTCCACCTGGAGACACAAGTCTCCATGTGATCATGTGGCATAGCATAGAGACCTGTCCAACTTATCACGAAGTCAAGGCCCACGAGATGATCTCTCCATAGGATTATATAGTACTACGAACACAAGGTTGATATATGCCATTATGTGTTGAGATGTGATGAGTGATTGTCAGAAGATGATCAGGCTTCAGCTAAGTTTGAGACTAACCCTAGCGTGATTGTGTTGTGCAACATATCTCTTGGCTTGTGGTGTGTAGGTGTGAAGCACTGAGACGGTCGATGGTAATGAAGAAGGTCAAGTAGAGACGTGCCTTGCCGATAGACTTAGAGCGGTGGAGGACGGACGTGACGCTTGGACCGAGGTGCCGGAAGACTGACCGTGGCTAGTTGACACTTGCAGACAACGACAGTGCAAGTGTACATAGAGAAGCGGACCGTGTTGATTAAGTCAAGACGGGCGGTTGACCAAGTCAAGCAGAGGCGCTGGAGATCGACGGTGATCAGACGATCAAGGACGACGATGAGACGTGTCAAGACGATTATACCCTTCATTCCTTCTTTCCTATAGCAAATCCCGCACCCGTGCCTCCCCCTAATAATACCACACCGCTCATATCCCTACCACTGCCGCCATGATGCGTTGGCCGTGATCATCCGGCCGCCACACACACAGAATCGCCGTGATCCACCCTCGAGTTCTAGGGCTCTAACCGCTAGGACTGGATATAACCCCATCCCTGTGCTATATAAGGTGGGCCAGGATGCTCCCTTGCATGGTTTCACGACACGACCACCACACATATGCTATCAAAATGTGCAGATATATTGGACCATCAAAAAGGAAAAAAACAAATATCGATAGTCGATGATTGCTGTACAAACCGCATATCACTAATATCTTGTATGATAGTATATATCGCTTCGCTGCTCTTAATAGTTTATTACACCGCCCAACCTCACACATATGCTTTCACGACTTCTACCTGTGCCTGGTACCGCGCCTGGCTCACTTGGGACGCGCGCCTGCCTCTTTGCCGCTGCCGGAAGTAGTGGTCTCCGGCTTGTACTTGTCGATCATTTTTTCGAATTCCTGCAAAATCACGGTTGCATATCGAACGTACATTGTTGAGTAATTAATTCAAACCGGACATGCCCATACTGTACGTACAAAGGTATGCACAATCGCCCACCTTCAACATTGCGCCCTTCATGAATTCGAAGTGACTGTCCTTAAACTGTTGCTCAACGCCTGCGTAATGATCCAACTCTGTGAAGATGTGCTGGTGCAGCTGTGTGACGGCAGGGTGCTTAGGCTTGATGTCGTTGTCCCGGGTGGTGCTGGGTGGCGCTGGGGTGGTGGCGACTTGTTGCCCCTAGACGATGAAGAGGAGGAGGCCCCGCCCCGTCTTCCTGGACAGGCGGCTGCTGCTTATAATTCCTTGCCTTTTCCACCATTTTCCCCATGTCTGGCGTCAGGAACGGGGGGGTTGCTGGTGCCGGCGGTGGCAGTGGCAGGCCCGTGGTGGCACGCTGCATCTGGTAGCTCGACACCCACGAGTAGATGCAGCTCAACCCCGAGGAGACCCCTCTTCTGCAGGCACTTCGCCATCGCCTCCATGTCATCGTCGATCCTCCGCAGGTCGTCGATGAGGTCACTCATCTCCTGGGCCACCTCCAGATAATTTCGTGTCTTCTTTCGCTCCTCTTCCCACTTCCTCCGCAGCAGGCCTCCCACCTCCTCCTTCTTCTTCGTCATCGAGTATTCCTCTGCAAAGCTGGCCAGCATTTCCAGCACCTCCAACATGATCATCCTTTGCAGGACCATGGAATTAGGGAAGCGATTGTTTCAACTTCCCGTACGCTGTCCTGGCAGCCTCATTACTGGTTCCCGTGACTAGGAGCGGCAGGTTGCATTCGGCGGTAAGAGTAGTAGTACTAGCAGCAGCAGCTGCTGCTGCCTCTGCCTGGTTGTGTGAACTAGCAGAACTATCCTCATACTCCACGGTAGCAGTAAGAGTAGCTGATCGGGTTCGTGAACTAATGGGGTTGGTTCTAAAATTAATCTGGACGATCAAGTCCTTCACCTCACCAGCGTAGAGGACGCCGACAGCAAAACCTTCCTTCGTCTTGGTGATAAAGTCGTGGGCCCCCTGTTGGATCTTCATGTTGATGCTTTTATTGTTCACATTGTTCTCGTTTGGGTTTGGGTCGTCGAGCTTTACCCTGATTTTGACGCGCGTGTTGATGGCCACAACACTCTTGAGCCCGCCTAAGCACAAGGCCACGGCTTCCATCAGCTTGCTGCTGTTGTTGAGATTATTCTGATTCTCCGCATGCGCAGGCGCAATGGAGGAGTAGGTTCCTCTGGATGTTTCGGCGATACGATGCAGCATCCCTGGGTCATGATTCATTCCCAAGCCGAAGGCGTGCACCGGGTACTTGCGACGGAGGTTTTTGACATCAGACTCGTCAAACAGAAGCTTGTTCTGTCGTCCATCCGACAGGAGAAGGATGAAGCCAACACGCTTCACGCCACCAGGACTTTGTTCACTCGTACTGTCCAGGATCTGTATCCGTTACAATTAACACACGTTATTTAAAATGTATCTGTCCATTTTTGTTTATATTATATATTAGCGAAGGTGCTAATCATTATTGAGAATAATAGACATGTAACCTATTCTATTCCCAAAAAAAATATTATGAAAACGGTATAAGGGTGACCCTAAATCTGCATCTCAATCACCTATCTCTACCATTATGAAATACAATCTAAAGTAAGCCTCTAAATTTACATGTCAATTATTCGCTAATGCCATTTATGACAGGTAATTTGAGTATCTCCTTCAATTTGTATCTAACAAAGCAACCACCTTTGTCAACACCAAAAATAAACTGAAAAATCCTCGACATCTAAAGTCATATATACTCCATCGGTCTTGAAATGACAATCGCAATTGACTAGAGGAAATGTCAATTATGCACGTAGATTTTAACCTTTAATTTCTCTTATAATATATATAGTCAATTGCTAAAAGATCAATATTATTTTAGAGGCACTTTAAACACAGATGTATTGGTGCAAGTTGTATGCTCTATACCTGCATATAATTTGACTAACTGTTGATCAAAATTTCTAAAGTTCGACCTTTTCTCCAGTCAAATATGATTATCATCCTTATAAGGGAACTCTTAACAATGTTCAATGTACACTAAGGACGAAGCCTCTTACCTGAACGGCGCGCTCCACTGGTCTAAGCTCAGTTCGAGTCTTGTCCACGACATTTTCCTGGTTTCCCTGGGCATCAAATATCCAATCATCAATGGACATGGACATCGTCTGATCATGGAATGCGCAAATGTACACTAAGGACGAAGCCTCTTACCTGAACGGCGTGTACCCGCTTTCTAGCTTCGGCTATCCAATTATCAATGGTCGTCTCCGTCTGAACATTGAATGCATCAACGACGTCAATCAGGCCTTTTGCCGCGTCCTCTCTACAGACCACTCCTCTCATGAACTCCATCGTCTTCAGCAGATCCAGTAACCTAATTGGTCCTGCTGCCAGCTGCTGGCCCGTTGTACCCCAGACATCTAGCACCACAACTAGGTGTATGGGGTTGCATTGCTACCATGTTCCGATGGTGGCGCTTTTTACGAACCATTGCTATGAATTTTGAGTCGGTCGTCGTCCTCTGGCCTGATTTGACTAGGACCCAGGGCAAATAGAGCGAACCACTTACTTTGACCTGCATGCATGTGAAATTAATAATAATTAGCTTTACCCGGAACATCGAGATCGCCATCATATATCTAGCTCGGTATCAAGTACTCTAGTTTTCTTTGGATAGATGTACAGGTAGTGTTAGCTTCTATTAGTAGTTGTAGCAAGCAGTGGCAGTAGGAATAGTTTATATATATAGCATTCTTGAAAATTTAATTGTCTTGTGTTTTCTTTATATTCAGCATGTTCGCTTGTTGGTTTCAGCCAGGGCTTATCAGCCATGATACAGTGTTTTCCTCTAACAACAAACTAGTGCCAGCCGGGCTTATCAGCCTAGAAACCAACCAGCGAACAGGCTGATTATGTAACATTATGCAAATTAAGTTTAATTTGTGAAATTTGCAGGAATTAACACACATATGGAGTACACATCCACCCTCCTTGGTGAAACTAGCTAGTGGTATCCCAAGAACACCTAGTACTCTTTATTTTGCTACTACAAAGATGATTATTATCAGCCGTAGCCTCTCAAAATCAAGTGACTGCACATGTATTTGTATAATTTTCAAGTATCATGGTGTGATAAAAATTTCAAATGCTAGAGCGCTGCTTCTTTTTTTTGTTAGCACATAGATGATTAAGAGCTAGCCGTAGCCTTGAAAAATGGGATGTTAATTTAAATCTTTGTTACATATTCAATACTGAACTTGAATTACAAACTAATTCCAACTAGGAACACAAACTTTCACATTGTAAACGGCGTCGCCTGAACTTTCCATGCTACATATATAGTAGATGTCTCCTGAGTAAGTGATTGTTTAGGTTGATTAATGAGGATGAGGTTTGGCAAAACCTTCTAAGAAGGAAATACCTGTCTAATAACCTTCTATCTCAGGTGCAACATAGGCTTGGGGATTCGCATTTCTGGGCCAGCCTTATGAAGGCAAAGGATGATTTTCTAGCTTGTGACACTTTTAAGGTGCATTGCGAGGAGCATGTGCGGTTTTGGAAGGATGTGTGGTTAGGCGATAAACCTTTCAGTGAGGTTTACCTTTGCTTATTTAGAATTGTGAGGCGCAAGGATGATACGGTGGCAAATGTCCTTGGGACTGTACCACTAAATGTGTCCTTTAGGCGTGGTTTGGTTAATGCAAACCAGATCGCTTGGTTTGACCTAGTGTCAAAAGTAGTACAAGTCCACCTCACAAATGGGAAAGATGTTTTTCGATGGAACCTTACTAAGAATGGCATGTTCACAGTCCGGTCCACGTATACAACTTTGATCCGTCAGGGCGTTCTCCCTGGCAAAAGTCCTCTCTGGAAACTAAAAGTGCCACTAAAAATTAAGATTTTCATGTGGTCTTTAAAAAGGGTAACTCTTATGAAAGATAATTTAGCAAAGAGGAACTGACAATGAAGCGTCAAATGGTGTTTCTGTAGTTCTGTTGAAACTATCCAACATTTGTTCTTTGGTTGTCACTTGGCAAGCTTTGTATGGAATACTGTGCACATCACTTTTGGAATTCAACTACCTACTAGCTTTGCTAATTTGTTTGGTTCTTGCACTACTACAAAATTGACTTTCAGTACCGGCAACATTAGTGCTGGTTTCCGGCGAACCGGCAATGAAGGGTTATCACTGCCGGTTCTGAGCTTCAAAATCAGAAAAAGTTTGGGGATCACAGAAAACTGGCAGTGAAAGTTCATATCACTGCCGGTTTGTGGCTAGAACCGACAGTAAATAGACTGTGATGTATCACTGCCGGTTCTAGCCACGAACCGACACTGATGTAGTGCTATCAGTGGTAGTTTTTGGTTTAAGCCGGCAGTGATAAACCCAAGTACAAAAGCTGTCGCCCTCTTCTCCTCCTCTCTCCCATCCCGACCACACTCGGAGAGGTGGCGTTTTCCCCACTCCCTCCATTGTTGCAGCCATTCTTCACCAAAATGCTCAATGAAGCTCTTGGATTTTTGAGCATGGGCATGATCTTCTTGCTTTAAGGTTAGTAATAAGCATCCACTCCCTTGAATTTGTAGCTTTATAGTTGTTTTGATGGCTAGATTGCTTGATTCTCATTCAAGTTGTTTCTCTTTCCAATTGGATTATGAGGAAGGCATCCAAATTGTGGTGAATCGATCTTTCAAAAGGTTGGTGTCTACGAGACTATTTTAGTTCCCAGCTAATTACATAGTGGTTTTGATGATTGTTATTAGTATGATTGGAGTAGAGTAGATTTTTTCCAATAGGGCTGCCAATTTCCATTTTTTGAGCAAATCAATGCGACACCTACCAACCCATTGTTTTGAGCTATATTGTTGTTCATGATTAAGTATCCAATTTTAATTTTATTTGTAATTAGTGTGTTCATTTTTATGTGGCATGAAGTAGAATAATTGTTCTTGATGAGTGTAAAATAATTGTTTTGTTGTGGGGCTACGATTTTCCATTTTTATGGGGCTACCAATTTTATTTTTTCAATAATTAGTGCAGAATAATTGTTTTTCAAAATGGGGCGCCCAAATTAAATTAATTTAGAATGAATTGTAGTTTTGAGCTATGATGACTCTCCCCATTTTTATGTGGCATGAAGTCTAAATATTTTTCTGTGCATAGATGAATCGAGGGTGGATGTACGGTGTGGCTGCTACGGACGAGCGGTACTTGATGGGCGTCGCCAACTTCATTACTGCTGCGAAAGCTAATGCCGGGGAGGGACAACTTGTATTCTGCCCATGCAAAGATTGCAAAAATAAAAGAAAATGGGGTCGCTCGGAGTGTATACGAATGCACTTGATTCCTAGGAGGTTCATGAGAGACTACATGATATGGAGTATGCATGGAAAGGTCGGTGACAATGTTCCGCCAGAAATCAATGATGATGTGGCCATGCCTAACGTAGCCCTACACGAGGCTGTTACTAACGCTGAAACCGGTGTCAACACACAACCTATGGCTACCGTTAATGATGTGTTTAGGAATACATTAGCTGACGACACCGAGAAAAACGATGGCATTTCTCAGCTACTACATGATGTAAAGGGCAGATGCCTTAGTGATACACAGTTGAGAAAGCTAGAGATAATGAGAAAGGATGGGAAAACACCATTATATCCGAGTTGTCCAGTCAGCAAACTGGAAGCCGACATCATGCTATTAGAGTTTAAATTTACACACGGATTGAGCGATAAAGGCTTCGATGACTTGTTAGGTATAGTTAGGAAACTGCTTCCAGACCGTAACGTGTTGCCAGAAAAGACATATCTGGCCAAGCAAATGATTTGCCCAATCAGCCTCAAGGTTGAAAAAATCCATGTGTGTAGCAATGATAGGCGGCTGAAGGAAATTGAAGAAAAAATTGAGCAAAAGCTTGATGCCACTGTTGCAGCACGAGTTGATGAAGTTCTTGCGTCCAGGGGATTGGCACAAGCAGACCCTGTTCCGACTAGCATGAGCCCATTGCTCAAGGGTCGCAGTAGCTGCGGATCGACCCCATTGCTCGATGAAGAAGAGGCAAATGCACTTCATCCATTGGTCAACATCACCGAAGCCGTTAATGTTAGGCTGTACATCAGCCATCAATGGACAACTGACAAGGTAGCGGTTGACTAGGCCTTCCCAAGAGGGGATGGGATCCTTCATGGCCACGCAATTCCACCGGGGTACGCCAGGGTCAGCATTGATAAGATCATTGATAAGAAGTACAACAACATACACATTGATTACCCCGTAGAGGCAGACAGGCTGTGTCTTATTCAGAACAAGGGCACTCATGTGGCTTGGTGGAAACGCTTCGTTAAGCTTGATGAGCAACCGTCTTTGGATGATGAGGACAACGACAAATCTCCACCTCATAAGGCACCAACACCGCCCAGAGATCAGCCGCCTCCATCTCCCCCCAAAGGTCATGACTCTCCTACGCCTCAGCATCCTCGTTCTCCCCCTCCATCACCCCCGCCGCCCAGAGATTAGCTGCCTCCATCTCTCCCTAGAGGTCATGACTCTCTTACGCCTCAGCATCCTCGTTCTCCCACTCCATCACCCCCGAGAAAAGAGAATTCCCCTGCTCCTGCTAGTCCTCCCCAACAAAGATCTCACCAAGTGGCATCTCGAACCAACACAAGAGCAGGGTTAGCCTCGCAGAAAAGGTCATCTAGTTCGGTAGCTCATGCTCCCAAAACGCATTAAAAAAGAAGAAGATGGTGGACGGGAGCATTACGGGATTGATGAAGAATAGTGACAAACCGGCAAAGCTTGACTGTAGGGAGGATTGCACTAAATTCTTTAAAAGAATAGCCTCGTTACCTAGGTGGATGTCGATCACCGATATCGATAGGCAAGACAGTAGCGAGCATAATAAACAAAGAGTCATGGATGAGCACACTCGTGATAGGATACAAATATAGCAGCGAGACGAAACTATGGACATAAGCATGGAGGATGCTGAGCTAATCTATTCGAATGAAAAAGAATGTGCGAAGGCAGAGATCGCATACAAGTATTCACTTGGCAAAAGTTTGATGGCAAGTGATGACGATGTCAATGATTTGCCAACAAATATGTGGCAACTGCATGATTATTACATGTTTAATAGCCGGGGGGGTAATGCTGGTTTCGGAGCTCTTATCCGCCCCGGAGTGGTGTTCAATTATCCTGATGAAACACTACATCATGTTGAGTATGATCATTTGTTTCAGCTCTTCCAGAGGCACGACCTTGATAACCAAATAATGATGTTGTGGACTTTGTAAGTACCCTACCCGTACGCTATTATAATAAACTATGTGTTCAACATTTGAACATA